ATTATTAAATTCACAACAACGCTGTGTCATAATTACGGCATGATAATCATGATGATGGACTTTTTCATCAAGTTACACGCTTATTTGCTCGCGCGACTAATTATATTCTGTCACATGCACATGTAACTCGGGTGACTCTATTCCATTTTGCGAAACTTCAATACACTCGAGTTCTTTATTGGGATAATCAGCTTATACGCCGTGATATATTAAAGTTAACCGTTATATTTATCATTGCATCGATCGCGCTCGCGCGCTCCCCTTCCACACGCGACTCTCGTTATTCTCGTTAAAATTCACGTTAAAATTGCAAAACGCTGTTGCCGATGTCGACGAACTCTGTTAACACTATAATGGCCCGATGTGTTGGCGTATATTCAGAAGAACAGCGTCTCGCGCATCTTATATATCTCGTGTGCAATGCGAAGAAAATTAAATTATGTTGCAATAAATATTACGATAAATTATATTAGAATAACTGTGTTACGCAATGAAAGGGAAAATCAACGTTCGCGAAGTATGGCGAGAAGCGCCGATGTTAGTGAAAAGTGCGTGTGCCTCCCTTAATATTAATCGATATTCAATCCCAAACGCATGCTTGCACGGTAAAAAGTTCCGTGTAAATAAATCAATAATCTATTGACATTCGCGTTACTTTAACACGGGAAATATGTTGAAAGTACATAAATATATATGAAATATCATATTTACGGATTGTATGTCACACAGCGGAGCGGTTATTTACACAAAATCGTTTACCGTGTAAAGGCAGAGTTGGGACGCGATCCGGTCCGGGTGTCAAGAAGCGCGCGAGACACTTCCGGGCGCTCATCGGTACTCACGAATATCGAGCTGTAAGTCTTGTCGTAGAAGACAACGGGCGTCTGCAGGATCGCCTCGGCGGACGTCAGCATCCCGTTGGGATCGGTCTGAAGGACGTAAGCGCCCGGACCCATGTACGGGTGCAGGTCGTTTCTGGAGAGGGCCGCGGCGAAGGGCGCGATCAGGCCCGCGACGGCCAGCAGGCCCAGCAGCAGGACGCTCCAGCGTGCCATTCTGTCGGACTGCCTTAACGCTACTGCTGATCGACTTGGCCGCGTCTCTCTTCTTGCCGCCCCCTAATCGCCTTTACCCACCGCTGCCCCGCGGAGCGGAGTTCGGAGCACATGAAACGCCACGCTCTCGCTTCCCGCGGCCGCTGATAATTCCGTGACACCGCTCCGAGCCCCGCTTCCGACCCCCGCGCTGTTAATAGGCTAATGTGCGATCGGTTATATCTTGAATGTTAACGTTCTTCGGCCTCTCTCTCTCTTTCTTTTTTTCTCTCTCACTATCTTTCATTCGAACCGTCCACGAGCCGCTCGTGCCGCGCGATGACCGCCGTCACTCGCGACGTGTCGGCCGGGGCTGGTTGCGCATCATTTCGCGAGCAAATATCGCGGGAGATCGGAGCGGAAGGCGCGAGAAAGGGTGTTTATATTTTTTCACGCTGATTAAGCCGAATGGTTGATAGTATTTTGGTGGAAAAGCCGAGATAACTTTCGCGATTCGTGCGGGATGTAAGTAACGAGCGGTCTTGTAACAGGCAGTCTCGAGGCAGTTTCACGGAGGCGGGGTTGTTATCCGGCAATCACGTTGCGTGATCATGCACATTGATGCTTGTTATTTAAGTATACATTTCCATTGCGTGCATTATCATTAATGTTCCTAATTAAGGTACTTGGCCCTTGACAGTACTGTTAGAAAGGTAATGGTTAATACAACACGAGCTCGACGTATTTGGGTTAACTGTGTAGAAACATGATTTATGATAGACAGCTTTGAAACTGCAGGAAGAGAATGCCAGTCGAACTTATGCGCGCACTTTTAACGTTTTAAAACTTATGAAGAAATAATCGTTCTTCGCAGTTGGACGTACAATACTTTAAATGCGCAATGTAATATAGCGAGAAACATTGTTTTTCTTTTTTTCAACATATAATATACAGGGGAAAAAGAAGTACTAGAATCAAGTGAACGTAATTATGTTTTTTCAGCCTTTTGAATCAGATAATGTTTTTATCAATTTAAGTATATTTTGACGGCTTGTAGTAAACACTTACTTGAACGCAGCAGTAACTTAATTTGTAAACGAATTACTGAATGTAAGTATTATTTATTCTAAATTTAAAAGAGCATTTACCAAAACTATGCAATATTACTTTTCCATTGAAACCAAAATTAGTGTCTGAAATTTCGATTTTTCTCTTAAATAAATATTCTCGAAAATTAAGATTCTAATATTCTCAATATTACACATTTCATATTTGTCAGAATTGTTCCAACATATATAGATAAATGTTTACTTATGCGCAGGACATATCACATGTGCGTATAATCAATTATATATTTCTATTTCTATATTCGCGAAAGAATATCGGAGCAAGCATTTTACACTTGGATCCAAATATTTACTTGATAATATTTACCAAATATTTACCCGATAAATATTACTAGGTAGGCACTTATCTCTTTCAAGTTGCCCATTTTATTATTACTGACAAATTCAACACTACAATAACAATTGATCACCGTTAAGGTAGAGTGAAATTGAAAAAGGAATCGCAACAGCTTCCGGACGGAGCTCACCGTTTTTCCACACACGCCGCGCGTTATCGCGCTCCGTCATCGCCAATTTTTCCCGTGCGGCGTGCGATTCTCGTCTGGCACGGGCGTGTCCGTTTCTGCGCGAAGTCTCGCGCGCGGTCTCGCGTTGTGAAACAAAGCACCGACCACGGCGCGACGGACAAACGGACGGAGGTGGACCTACATTGGCATACGCCGCCTAGAATTGCGCCGTGGCCTAGAACGTCCCAATAAGCTGTCTCAGAAATTCGTCAGGGTCGCTCTCCTTCCAGACGGTATGCGGGTCGTTTATTTTGAAAGCAGCGGCCGAGTCTTTCAGCGGGAAAAAACAATGAATTCGAGCAGCTCCTTCGATCTGTCACTGCCGCGTTGCATTACGACGTCGGGGGCGTCGCGCGTAATTTTCTTTTTTCGCCTGTCCGTGGTATTCCCTTGCAGTTCCGCGACAGCTGGGGGGGGGGGATTTATGGCCAAGCGGGACGGAAGATGAGTCATGGTGCACGTTGTAAATTGATCTTTATTACAAGAAATTACATGACTAATTTGTACATATAAAATATAAATATGGTACAAGTACTATGATACAGAGACGCGTGTGTTTTCCAGTGGAAAAAAGTGGAAGTAGGTCGCTAGAGTTACAATTAATAATTACTATCACTATAATTCGTTATTATTATTACTGTTGTATTCACGGCAGACGGACTGACACGCTCTTGGCAATGCTTTCGAACTCAGACTGAACTCGGACACGCGACAATAGACAAACGAAATATCACATGCACGAACGAACGTTTCTTTCGCGACATAAACCATACACGAATCCTGTGCCCTCCTCCGTGATGATTCGAGAAGGCGGAAACGGTTCGCCCCCCCCCCCNCCCCCCCCTCGGAAATCAATCTCGCGTTGGGAAGACTGGCGGAACGAAAAGCTACGTTTTCAATTATAATAATCGTCGTAGCCGATCGACAGCTCGAGTGATCGATAAGCACGAAATGCAATCAGTCAATTGCAGTAGCTCCTTCTTTCTCTCTCTCTCTCTCTCTCTCTCTCTCTCTCTCTCTCTCTCTCTCTTGCAAATAGACAGACAGAAAAACAACCCACAGTATCGGGCGCTCATATAAAGCAATGACGACGGTTTCGGCGGCGAAATTTCGCGTATTCGATCGTCGATGAGTGAGACACGGAGAAATGAGCGTACAGGGTATTTTTTTTTGCATTTTTAATAACGCGACGGGACGACAAGAAAGAGTTACTTGGCTTCGTTACTTTCCACCCCCGTGGACAACGGCGACGACAGGACGATCTAGCGCCGTTCCACGTGAAAATGACGACCTTCCGCCCGTATTTTCATCCCGCCGAGAGCTCAAAATGCGACTACAGAATTTTTCGCGTCTACCACAGCTTGTGCGAATGATCTGTGTAATATCATTGTACGACAGTCCGAGTGCGATCATAGAGATACAGATAAATTGGAATCCAGCGTCAGATACTTGCATTTATGCTAAACGCGGGATGCGAATAGGACCGGTCAGTTACTCACGTCTGTGCTGTTTCAAGGGTACGTGTTGTGTGTGTGTGTGTGTGTGTCTGTGTGCGCGCGTGTGCGCGTTTATATATTCATATACATATACGTGTGTATCATGCATAAACGAACCTGGAAGGTACAACAGTTCGGGACGAGAGAAACGGGTGGGTTCCCCATCGATATTGGCCGCGAGTCGGTCCACCGCGACCCGCGTCAGAAAACTAGAATACCTCTATTTCTGCCCCGCATTACCACTCGCCATGCCGATTTATTTTCATCCCATCTATTTTCATTCTCCCCGGCCTCATCCCCGTCCCGTGCTCACCCTGTCCGCGTTCTCTCTTCGCATAACATTCTCTCTTTCTTCCATCCGTCGGAAACGAGCCTGGGCTCTCGCTTCTTTTTCTCTCTTCCCGCCTTTCTCTCCGTCGCGTTCCAATGGCGCTCGCGCGAACCGAGCGTCTCTTACGATTAGCAGAAGTTTACGATTTATAGTTATTTCTATTTCTCCTCCCCTATCTTCTCCGCGTTTCTTTCTTTCTTCTTGCCTTTGCGACTCTCTCTCTCTCTCTCTCTCTCTCACGCTTTCGTCGGAAAGACTCGCGTCTCTCTAAGTGAGTTACAGAGCCCTACGAAGTGCGGTAACTGCTGATAACGATTAAAGCTACGATAATACCATGAATTAACGTGCGTGCATTAGATACATTACGTACGTTTCGTTATCAATCAATTGATCGTTAATCGTATAAAAGATTTCTTCCCCCTCCCCCCCCCCTTCGCTCTCTTTTGGCAGTGCGTTGCTCGCTCGCTCGCGGCAAGGCTCCTTTCCTCCCCGTCTTTTTTCTCCTCTTCCTTTCTTCGCCCTCGTCTATATTATATTTCTCCCCATCCCGCGCCGAAGCTCGATTTTTCTCGATAAACAAATTCGCGTCTACCTCTAATACATCGTAACTTCCATCGTTGCGAGTCTCATTTCCACCGGTGACCCCACGGATCGATCAACGCCGCTCGGCGGTTTCCTCCCGCTGGATCCACCGTTCTAATCAGCGATCACACGGATAAAGAAGGGAAATTTTCATATCGACCGGTGGGCCAGCTCTACGTGGCGTGTGCCATTCGAATCGCAGCCGGCCTCGATCGTCGATAATGAGCAATCGACGTTCTACGAACGAACGAACGAACGTACAGCTTGGGTTCGCGATCACTCGCGATCCCGCGATTTTCACTCGACCGTCTTTCAGCCCGCGGCCGATCCTCCCCTCCGCCCGACGGTTACGAATATTGACGCGTGTCGTATTTCTAAATCGAGGCGAGTATCTTCTCTAGTCTACCGCGCGAGACGGCTTCGTCGTTTCGTTCGTCGCTGAATACGCGGTATTCGGCCGGTCGGCCGGCAGTCTTAACATCCCCTCGAAAGTCTCCCTTATATAGCTTACTAATGGCATCAGTCGGACGATGTGGCAGCCATAGTGATTTAAACGACTCTCTGACGTATAATAGACGCAAGAACAAAGCACCAACCTCTCGCGTTGAACCGTTTTAATGCCGATATAAACGCGGCTCTCCCGTGTCGCCGTATATTTAACAATCGCGAACAATTCGCCTAACATCACCGTGTCCTACATCCTGAGAAACATCGTTGGAAACTGAAGCGATCGCGAAGAAACTCTCTAACACGAATACACCTTATTTCTTTATTATTATTATTATTTTTTTTTGTTCTTTCCTTTATCGATATAAAACTCTCATAATAACTTCGATAAGACACGTGCGTGTGCGTGTACGTGTGCGATATTTCGGTGAAAATCTTTACCTTAGGCTCTTAAATATTCCTCGTTTAATCCCGGCCGGTGCCGGCTTTAGGCTTAACAATTAGTGACGACGTACGATGACGATGACGATACCACGATATCATTAACAACTACTGGACGGAGTCGAGCGACATCGACGCCATTCCCCGTTCAATTCGCACGGCGACCTCGCTCGTCTCGTTTCAACGATTAAATTCGTAGGTGGGTGGGCGGGTACGGCGAGATCAACACGCGGTCGTGCGTGCTGATCTGAGTCTACGTTAGGTGGTCTTTATTTCGGCCGGCGTCACGGCATGCCGCGCGTACTGTTGCTGAGGACAGGAGTCGAAACAGGTGACCAGGAGAACGTGGCTCTTACAGGCCTCCACTCTCTTTTGCAGGATGCACGTCTCTGCCGTCAGGGCCTCTAGGAATGACGGATCCCGCCAGTCCATACTGTCCTCCACGTGCACTGTTCCAAACAAACACAGCGAAACGTGTTCGTAAGCGCGTGTGTCACTACTACCGCAGTTTGCAGATGTAAGATTGCGTAATCGCTCGTCCAAGTGCCGTTAATGAATGCGACGACGAAAACGAATAAATGAGCGTAAAAGAATACCGTGGCAAGCGAGACAAAGTGCGGGGAAGGTACGGAAGATTGCGAATAATGAGGAAAACGACTGGTACCTCCGTTTAGAAAAAGGTCACTAAAACCTGACATATGGTGACACGTATCCATGCTTCCCGGCGGTAAAATATTGAACTCTGCCGGATGGAACGTATATTTCATTTACTGTGCATGATAAGTGAGCTGAAGTGGCAATTTTTATCTGCAGACGCATTCGGTTATGTTATTAGCGTTGTTTGTAAATTAAAAAAAAATCTGTAAGACTGAAGATAACACAGAAAGATATATAATAAATGTACGAAATAATACAATTTCAGTGCTTTTATTGTATTTTTTGGTGGGGGGGGGGGAGGAGTAATTTCTTACAAGTATCATGATTATGTCGGACTTGAGACCTATTTCAAAACATAGTTATTTGCAAGAGAATATATAATAATTTTCATAAGAATGTCTCATATATCTTGGTAAAGAAGTGTCGCTGGTTTGCATGCATGCGTATAAATCTGAATTTCACACCCTCGACCAGGACTTTAGAACCCGGAAGCAAAATGCATGTCGGTGCCTTTTCTCCGTGCACAAAAGAATTTGATTCGCGCGTTACTTGCGAGACTTGAGACGATATGGCTCTCTCCCGTTCGATCCTCACGCGTGAGCGAGTAAACAAATTCGGCAGAAAGAGAGAAAGAGAAAATAATCGGTTACTCGAGTCTGGCACGACAGCGAGACTTACGATCGTAACTCCAGCGAGTGTCGGGCACCATGAGGCGCCGTTTAGCGTCGCGCAGTTCCAGCCTAAGAAGGCGCTGGCGCAGGCGAAGGCTGTGTATCCTGGACATCGTGCCACGTGGATCCGAGCGCAGCCGAGCGCGCCTGTCCAGGATGTCCACGTCCTCGCCTGTGTACGCGAGAATCCCCGGCGCCGCGGGCGGCTGGGCCCGGCAGTGGGCCCGCGACCGCCGTGGCCCGCACCCTGCCGCCCGCCGTTCCACCGCTGAAACACCCGCACAACGTCGAAGTTAGAACTCCCAGCGCGCCACCTGAGGAGAATCACCGTACGGCGGGGTCGGTTTAGAGGGCCTGCGTATCTCCTTTCCGGGAATGCGAAGGATCCGAGATATCTTCTCGTGCTTTGGATATACTTCGCTCAGAGCGAGACGGCACTTTTGCGTTAGCGGACAAGTCGAGAGAGAAAGAGAGAGAGAGAGAGAGGTAGGGGAGAGACGAAGCATAGACAGAGAGGGAAGAGAATAGACAGAAGAGATTAGTTCGACTACGGTGGGATAAATAACGATCGTTCTCTCGAGCGAGGGAGTTCTCATGCGAAGCGAGCTGGAATAATCGACTAACTGCAACGACAGCGTGTACGGAAGAGTGGAGGGATTTCTCGGGTTGTTTCTCGCGTTTCTACTCTCGACGGAAGCTGTTTCTCCGGGCGCTACAGCGATTCCGTTTCAGAAGAACGATTTACTCTCGGGGAGGTCTACGACGTTATTAGCAGAAGTAAGCGGTATTGCCAGCTAGGAGAGAAGAGACATCAACCGCACGCTTCCGCGCGCAAGCCGTGGAGAGGTTTGACGTTTACCTTGATGCTCCTGCAACGCGCCGGTTTGCCGGGACGAGTCGCTGGCAATGCTGCTCGTCTCGCTGTCCCGGACAATGCTGTCGTAACCGGAGCTCTCCGCGCGATGTCTCGACAGCGTGGCCGGGGACAGCTTAGCCGCACGCGGAGTCGAGTCCGCGCCGGAGTCGGAGCCATCCTTATTCAGGCCGAAGGACGAGCCGAGGCTGAGTATCTTGCGCTGCATTCGTCCGGAGGACGCCGCCGGCGACGGCATCGGCAATTGCATGGGCGCTGCGCCTGGAATGTGAAACATTCAGCGAGTACAGTGCGCGGTCGATTGTCTTCGACATCCGGACGGACAACTCCACAGCGCTTCGTCTATGTTGAAATCGATGAAATTCGAATCTCGTTCAAATGTATTAATTCACGCGTGAACATTCCTAGAAATTCCCCATTCTCGACTGTTCCCCTCATTTTCGTGGTAACGTGAAAATAATAATCAATATATATATATATATATATATTTGATATGAGAATAAATGAAACTATAATATTCTCTTCACGCGGCGCGAATGTCGCTCGGAGTTTATTAGCACCGGGGGGATTCGTACCTTGAATCTTCAAGTCTTCCTCGATGTCGGACTTTCCCGTGACCGTTCTCTCGGATCTCTCGGCGGCTGTGAACAGCTTCTTCGCTTCAATGTACTCCTCCTCGGGGTCCGAGCCGGACGCTCCGTTTCCGGGTATCCTCTCGATCTCCTCCTTGAGATTGGGGTTCGAAGCGCCGTCCGGATGCCTCAGACTGGAAATGTTGCAATCACCCAACTTGCCGCAATACCTCCTGGGACTGGCGAGGTGGGCGACGCTACTTGGATACCAATAAGAGGCTGTGGCTGGCCTGGACATACTCTGACGACAATTGTCGCAGATCTTCTCCTGATCGGACTTGCCGGCTATGTACGCGGGTTCGCTGTAGATGCTGCCGTGATTGCTCGCGTTGTCGTTGAATAACACATCCGAAAGAGACAAGGACTGACACCGAGACGGCGGACGGAAGACGGTCGCTGCTGGAATTTGTCCTGCGTTAATGTCACATTGGATGTATAGACCGCAAGTGGTGGCTGTAGTGCCTCAATCAAAATCTACGACTCGTCCGGGGCCGATCTTACGTCCCTAATTGATCGGTAGATCGCTGATGAAAATTTTATTTTCTTGCAATTGTCGTCGAATTCCCCGAGACTTCGGCTTTCGCGAGTCTACTCCGCGAGACCGCGAACGTCGTGAGATAAGTATGAACTTTGAAAGCACACGGTAAGGAAATCTCGGTTCCCTGCAACTGAACAGGCCGGACGAAGACTCGACGACGAAGAAATGGAAACCCCGTGACAATGATATCCGTGTTATCGTACATAATTGTGCACATTTGCGCGAATATTCAGCTATATTAAAAGTCGGTTGAGGCAACCGAGAATAATTGAATAGAAACCTACGGGAATTCTGTTCCCGCAATCGAGTTTTCGTCAGGCAGTAGAAAACTCGGTGACAAGAAATGATATCTCTTGGTCTGTTCTTTTTAGCTGAACCGGCTGCGCTAACTCAGGAAACGTACGCACACCGTGTGAGAATTTCGTACGTATGCTTCGTACGCTTCAATGTGTCTGTGAATTTCTTGAACTAATGCGGCGATTTCAGTTGAAAAGACCATCTATTATCGCGATTCGGAACATTCGGGTAGATATTCAGCAGCAGTAAAATTTAGTAGAAGTAACTGAGAACAATTGATTGAAACCTTTTAAAGGAATCTTTCTATTTCCATTCCCAAACCGAGTTATTGGCCGATATTTATGGATCGGATCTTGTATTTGGGACCGTCTTAGGTTCACCTTCAGATGCTTTGTAGCCAATGAAATAAGCTGTACAATATTTGAATGAAGCTTAAAGCGGTCATAAATGCAAGATCTGAACTGTGAGTCCCGGTCTTCTGATCTTCAGGTGACAGAAAATTCAATTACACGAATAGACTCGTTTTTTATGTGTACTATCATTCGTGGGAATTCGAGAGTAATTTGAGATTTCGCGGGAAATCCTGTCATCGTGCGCGACAGCATCGCGAGCGACGGATTAGAAAATTCGCGTGTACGAGGCACGGGGTAATCCTGACGAAAGCGTGCGACGGGCAACTCTCGTCTCCGCGGGGATTCGACGTCGCCGGCGGTAAAGGGGATCCCGTTCGTGCCTTTCTTTTTGCTCCACACGACTGACCGGAACCGTCCGACCGCGCGAGCTTGGCGAAACTTACATGGAGCGTCTCGCACGTTAACAGTGGAGGAGTTCTCCCTCTGATAAGTCACGGAGTTGGAAACATTGGCGAGCGCGAGTTTGCTCTGGTAAAGCTCGTGGAGGCGGGCCAACTGATCGAACTTGTGCCTGGTCTCCTGTTCCAGAAAATCCTCGTGGTCGAAGTACGGCCTCGGCAGGACACCCGCGCCAACCGGCGGCGGATAGTGCGGTCTGTATCTCTCCGTGTCCGACATCACCGACATGGAGTCTGGAAATGATTTTTCTGTCTCATCCCCTTCGCCCGTCCGTTTATATCTCGCCGCGCAAGAAGCACAGCGGCGGATAAGAACGACGGGGGGAAATGGCGGCACTGGCCAGCTGTCCGCCTTGCTTCGAGGAAAGGGCGCAATGACATGTTATTACATCGGGCTTTCTCTCTTCGAGGGAAGTGAATTATTGTTTTCTACGACGGATGGCCTATTACGCGCCACCCCCGGAACCGAAAAGTCGGCCCGCGAGTCGATGCGAAGGGTAGTTGCCGCGGAAGTGTTTGTTCGAACCGCCACCAGGAAGAAGCGATCGCGATGAGACAGAGGATGAATGTAATTGAACGTTCAGGAGAACCATCGTACAAGTTGTCCCGCCGCCGGAAACGCTTGTAATGTTAGCCGATAGACAAATTGTGGAAAGATTGCGCAATAATGGTACGAATTGACGAGAAATTTCGCAATAATTGCATTAAGATGGTTCGCCGTATAACGCGATAGTTTCGTATGAATAAAATTTCCAAGTGATGTTTGTCCAAAATTATGACAAAACCAAGCCGGAATACTTCTTTCGGGTGTCATTGTACAACCTACAATATTTTTCGCAATGTAATGCAGTAATGAGATTATGGTAATATTTGCGGGTAAAATAAGATTCTATAACATTTTACGCGGGCAAAAGATTTTAATCCAAATGATTGAATTGATTAAATCTTCACGAATTCAAGTAAAAGAAGGGAAAATTTTATGTAAATATCACGTAAATATTTAAATAAACTTCTCACTTATAACTTTTATATTTACTTTTTACTTATCTATGCGTTAAAATCGCGTGTTTCTTTTTCGAAAATCTGACGCAATGAATGAGTAATATAAATATTTCATGTTGCAATATTTCTAAATTATAATTTAGAAATAATTGCGCATTTTTACAAGTTTATACATGCGTTAATTTGATTCCTTCGGGCACAGTTACATTTCTGTAAACGTCTTAAACATAATGCGGCTGAAATATCGTTCTCAATCATTGGGGAATTTTTTCCAACGGTTTCATTAATTTAAATAAGAATAGTTTTATAAACTATTTATAGATATATTGAATGTGTATATGCAAACAAAAAAATATCACTTATATGATACATATTAATAAAAAAATAAACATTATATATTTATTAAAAAGTAATAAAAACTTACGTTTCTCGTGATATTTTTGAAAGAAAAAAAAAATAAAAGAGACGCGTGTAGGCATAGATTTACCCACCTGTGAAGGTGGACACCACGGTGAGATTTTCTTGACTAAGGATCCTTAAGGGATGTTCCTCCTGGTCGCTTTCCGGAAGGGGATTCTCGCCCATGCAGAGCGCGATATCCTCCTCGGTGACCTGCAGGCAGGAGTCCTGCATGGGCACGGGTTCCAGGTCCTCCACCTCGACGATCTCCAGGATCTCGTCCTCGGAGGACAGGGAGTGCCTGGAAGGCAGCACGATGTCCTTGTGCGAGAGATTCAGACTCTCCATGGAGACCTCCCTGCTAACACCGTTGCTGAGCGGCTCGATCAGCGGCAATGGCGGCGGCACGACGATCTCCTCGTCGTCGTCCTCGTCGTCCGGCAGATCGAGCTTCCCTTTGTCGACACTGTCGTCCATCACCGGGCTGGCGGTCAGATCCAGTCCCGAGTCCGTGTTGGACTTGACGTTGAGCAAATTCAGCTTGGCGCTCAGCTTCTCGGTGATATCCTCGATCTCGTTCGCCTTCAGGCTGTCGCTCTCCGCGGTGGACAAGGACGTGTCGTCGTCGTCGACGCCGGCGCAGCTCTTGAACGTCGTCAGCTCCTTGAACTGGCCGGCGGACGACTGTCCGGAGGCCATCTTGCCGGACTCGAGCCGCGGCGCGGCGTGCTTCGCCCTCTGTATCTGCGACGACTGATTCTCCACCCACTTCCTGATCATGCTCTTCTTGTGACTGTCCATGAATCCGTAACCGGAGGACGAGTGCTGATGGGTGTGCAGCTGCAACGGGGCCGCGCCGGTCAGCTGCATCGGCCCGTCGATCCACGTCTCCCGCTTGTGATGGGGATCCTTCAGCATGTGCCGGGCCTCGGCGACCTTCGACTTCGAGATCCTCGGCCCGTCGATCCACTGCTCGTCGGAGCCGCCGCTCGGCGCCGCCACCGGGATCTTGCTGCTCGGCGAGTCGCCGCTTTTCGACACCGAGGCGCTCTTCGACGAGGAGTTCTTCCTCGCCGGGCTCGCCTTCGGCGTCGCGCTGTGCGCCGGCGAGGTTTGCTTCGACGCGGTCTGCGTCAGCGTCTTCACCGTCTTCGAGGACTTGTGAGCCGGACTGCGCTCCTCCGGGATCTTGCTCGGCCTCTCGGCCGCGGAGCCGCGCAGCACCCTCCCCATGGCGCAACGGTTGTCGCCGGAGTTCAAGCTGGGGATGTAGACGGGCGGGTGCTCGCCGTCGGTGGCGTCGTCCGCGCTCGGCCCGACGTAGATCACCGTGTCGGCCGACAGGTCGCTCGAGCTCGGGTCGCACTCGCTGTTCTGCCTGGCCGCCTCCTCGCCCGAACTGCCGCCGCTGCCGGTGCCCTGCGTGCCGCCGCCGACGAACTTGATCTTCCGCCGGCGCATCCGGTGGATCCTCGAGGCCAGCTGGACGGTGGTCAGCGTCTCGGTGTAGTGCTGCGCGTTCGGCGACACGTGGGCTATCATGGCCGCGTGGCACGTCAGCGAGCCGAGGCATTCCTTCAGCAGCTGCGTCAGCTTGTGTTCCTTGTACGGCAGGTGTTTCTGCCCGTTGAAGATCGCGAGGAGGATGTTGCCCAAACCCGAGAGCGGGATACCGCCCGACGACTTGCCGCGGTCCGAGTTCCCCAGGTCCATCAGGTGAAGCCGACTCCTGCCACCGGCGACTGCGCGCAGAAGAAGAGCGTCTCGATATCGCCGTGCAATCGGAGAAATGGCTTAGCGCTAGCGGTGAAATTTCATCAGCTGGTTTGCCGAGAGATACGACTTTATCGGCGGAAATGATTAGCGCGATTCAGCCCATATTAGGTCGATTAGCTGTGCTCACTGCCTGATTAAATCATATATAGACGATACTAAACGCGTTTGTATCAATCGACGAAGTGATCGGTGAAGTACCTGTTGACTCGCAGTCTAGAGATCTCGAAGATTCAGATCCAGAGATCCTAAAGATCTCTTTCCTTCTCTGACAGTAATGGGAGAAAAGAGAACGCGAAAGAACGCGAGCACGAGGATCGTCATTAATTGAATTGCCAAGCAGCGAGGAGGAAGAAGAAGCTCGCACGCTGTCTCGTCGTGGTGATAAAAAATCAGGCAAAGCATGAATTCGTGCGATCGGCCGTGATCAGGCGCGAAGCGCCACGGAATAATCTCTTTTTTGCCGCCGGTGTTTCCCGCCCCCGTCGTCGGACGATGAGCCGGCGCAGCGGCTCGACAAGAACACAGGAGTTCGAGAGATGGGATTGCATTTACCTCCACCTTTGCCGGCGACGCTGTACTGGTACACGTGCAGCGTGTAGAGCATGTGCGCGTCGCCATCCTCCCGTTGACGACCGGCCACCGCCGCGTCGAGGTAGAAAGCCGCACGTTCGGCCGTCGGCGCGCGGAGCTCGCTGTGCTGCTGCAATTGAAGGGTGCCGAACAGCGGATCGTCTCGGAGATACACGGCCGGTGACTGCTCCGAGTCTGGGGAGAAAAAATCACCACCGGTTTTGTTACGTTTACGCTCATCCCACCGCTCGCCTTCATCGCCCGGCACAGTCGCGGAAGGAAAACAAATCGCACGGAGAGACGTCCGGAGAAGTGAAGTTCTCAGTTTTTCAAGCCAATTTTCTCTCGTTTCGTTTAGATTCGATCAAACATAACGGTAGTATTGATCACGTTTTAAGGTCGAACGTTTCGTGTTGTTGCTTACTCGAAAGAAATGAAGCGAAATGTTCACGGAATGTCGGAAACAAAGCCGCGATATTAAACACGGAAGTCACACTAAGCGTTCGTTAATCAAGTCTCTGATGTTTCTGTAAATTCGAACATGTTATTTCAATGTTCAGATGTTGCGAACACCCTTAAGCGAGCGTCATTACCCTACTTTCCCCTGCTGTTTATTGACTGTTCAGGTAAAAGAAAAGTTTTCGGAATATTTGACAGATGTGCCCGATGAATCATAAGTAAAACTTCACGAACGCATCCTTTTATTTCAACATATTCCGCGAGAATTTTGGGCGCGCGCACGCGCGCGCGCATTTCCTCGTTTTTGACGTCGTTAATCAAAATAACTGCGACGAGGAAACAAGAGCCTTAACCGCCCTTCGTGATAATGGACAGGCGAAATGAACGGATATGCCCGCTTCTGATGCAAATAGGTTAAATTTAATTTCGCGAAACACCGGGATGTTTTATGCGCTTGTCGCGTGCATTCTCGCGTCCGCCTTCTTTCATCTTTCGCAATAGCGACATCGCATAAAGGGGATCGCTGCATGTTTTGCTCATAAAGAAATGATACAATCCAGACTACCCCTTCTTCCCCTCCACTCCAGCCTGCCCCCCTCCCCCTGCAAACATCCTATATCGCGCGCGCGCGCGCGAAATTCTATCTGGAACTCGCATAAGCTCCCCAATATTCTTCGTTTATTCGATTCCATTATTTCGCGGAAAAATAATATCCGCCGAGAACGGGCGGAAAGGATCGAGATGCAGGTGCGTACTACTACACGGGGCCGTAAATCGGTCGAAGCGAGGGCTCGAGATATCCGCAGGACGCCTCGTCCTGAATTACGACGTCGATAAAACGTCGGAAGATACGTCGCAGGAGATACCTGCGTCTCGCTATCGCGTGCTTTATCACGCGTTCCGTATAACGCTAGAACGATCGCGCGTCTACATACAATGCGAATAATCAACGTAATGCGAAACCTAGCAGTAAATAGTGATCAGCGTAAAAGGGCAATTACGAGGTCGGGAGGGAGAATGTGGGAGCGCGGATCAGGCGATCAGATCGGGCGAACGCAATCTTCGTATTGTTGCCGCTTTGTCGTGTAAATAAAGCAGCTCGGTCGTAAAAGAGCGGACGAGGAAGGCGGCGGTTAAGGGGACAGTCGCCGGGAATAAAGAATGCCAAAGAGATCTCGGGGAAGACACACACCGCGCCAGCTATCAATTATTTCGTATTGAACACCGCGCCGCGGCAATAAACGTCGCGATTGCGTGCGCTTGCGTTGCTAGGTATCCGATGGAAATAAAGAAATCGCCGGAGCAAGATGAAGTGCGGCCATTCGTGGGTCGTTCTGGAAAAAGCAGAGCGCGGAAATAAGGTAACGTTCGAAATAAGATCGGACTCGGCCTCGCCCGAGTCGAAATTTTAGTTCTACATTGACCGATAATTTTGTAAAGATCAGAATCAGATTCAACGGCTCAAAAATTAGAAAAAAACATGCCATTTTTTCGCTCGCCATTCCGGAGGCCAAAATCGGGCCATCTCACCCACCGTCTTTCGGAGGACATTATTTTAACTATCGTTCTATGTGTTTTGACGGCTTCGTGCTATTTTCTCTATGCTAAACTATCGTTAAGGGAAAACTTGTTTATCTTTATTCTTAGTTTTAATAAACAATATGGTAATTATGATATACTCAACTGAAGATAGAATATGTTTAATAAGAAAGTATGAAATAATTGACTAGATAAGTGAGACAACAAATTTTCCAAAGTTTCCTTTTAATTTCCTCGTTATTTATTTTTCGATTTATGTTGAAAATGTATATTTATAAAATATGTATCCGTACATCTAGAAATATATGTTGCATTATTATTTTCGTTCGGACGTCCTGCATCCTCAGATGACTTGGCCTCCCAAGCTTGGCTTCCCGACGCAATATCCTGTTACTTGTTTTACCGTCATGGCATTACGAATACTAATCAGTGCTGGATATTAGCCAGCACTGACATTCATGTAGGTACGCTTTAATAATCGGGCAAAACACGTTAATTAATTCAACGTCACCGGGAATTGCATTAAGTATTTCAAGAACCGGCGAAACATCCTGCAAAAAATATATCATAACTCTCGCTCAGGGAGAGAAGTATGTGCGTGGAAATATCAAGACAATCTGTACAAACAGGATAAACTAATCTTCTCCCATCGCCAATCACCAACCGTCATCGCTCGTCACTGAACGTCGAGCGATCGCAATAATCAAAACATTCCGGACCTTCAAGGCGGTCAAACATAAAATACCTTTGTACCTCGCATACTTTTCGGGTTCATTAAGTTTGAGCCAGCGAGCGACACGCATACCACGGATTACATGTGTCGGTTTCCCCTCCATTTATATCGGTGTATTTATTTCCCCTCGAGTCTTTCCCCTCGGGTGATTAAAATATTTCGTCGACCCTTAAAATACTTAATCAACCTCTCGTCGGCATTGCGTTATTTAACACGTGTGTCGTTGATCGAATTCTATCCGCGCGAGTGTTAGTGTCATGACGGAATAGCGAGGATGCTGGATCAGGAAGCCAGAATAAAGGATGCAGAACGCGGCCAGCGATACATAATATATTTCAAAGTGTGTCAAATCATTTATCATATAGGAAGTTTTTCGTTTTCAACGTGTATTTGCCGAACTTATCGAGGAGATCATTTTAAGGAAACACCCGAGTCGGGAAATTTAGATCGGCATTCATAGTCCGTCAACGTTTGACATATTATAGATTCATGAATGAAATTATCGATTATTCGTCAACCTGTATTATTATCCTTATCATTATTTCATAGAAGAAACGTTGATCCAAACAACCGAATAAAGGGGATCGTGAATAGAAATTTATAATTAATTATATCCTCCGTCGAAGAACCTAAATAATTCACAAATATGAATACCGGCTTTAGAAATTAATTTAAATCTTGCAAGTATTGATTTTTAAGTCTAATAATGTTCTATGGGTCGGGTGTGTGTCTTGTTTATCTGTTAAATCTTTTCATTTCTAATTAATCTAATTCTAATTATGTTATATAATGAACACATTGCGTTAACTTATGTTAAGAATAAAGATTAAATACAAGTAAAATATTTTAAGGAAAACGAGTATTAGATAGTCTTCAAACGAGTGATTTTTTGAGCTTTTTCAAGCATTTTCTTTAACAGAAAGAAAACAGCAATAAACATTTATGTAGCATCAACATCTTACAAGGTAAGATAATAATTCCTATAATGTTGCAATCTCAAGATTCTTCACTAATCCTTCGACTAAATTCGACCAAGTTCGACGGAAATTCGCAGAGTTAATGTAAAATTAAAATGTCTACTCGGATGGACATTCCAGGAAAGAGCGAGCATCCGTCACATAACATCTATGTTATAACTGATGCTCGATGTTTACTGGGGTATGATCTCCTCAATGCTCTTGCGCGCGAAAATTCGTCCAATGTACGGAAGGAATGTCTGAAAACCCGATAATCTGAAACAGAGGAGCAGAAAGGCGGTAGCAAACGTCGCACACGTATACATACGCGTTCGAGTCGCTTTGCGCGCAGGAATATATGAAACCGTGTGCTTCTCGCGAGAGGGTGGATTGAAAACGCAGACTAAGGATTTCCTCGTGCCGTTGCACCGGAATCCGTAGCGATCTGCGAGAACTCTCGTAAAAAGTTGCGATAGCGAATTCATGCGAATTTTCGATCAAGAGACGCGCTCTCACACTGTATGAGTGAGTACGCGAGTTATGGCGGGGGAGCAAACGGAAAGACGATCGCACAGGCGTTTTTCGGTAGGACTATTCCCTACAATACGACGTAAGAAGAGAGCGAGACGAGATAGCCGGACTCCGAGTTGACATAGAAATTCGAGCGATACCGAAATTTGCAAAATGCAAGTAGAAAATCGTGACTGAAAAGATCACCTCGAGAAAAGATCAACCACCCGGTCAGAAGCGCGACGTCGGGTCGAATTTGATGAATTCGAAGTCGATACGGTTGTTGACTCATTGAATTGAGTGAAAGTCGATTTTGCCACAATATCGATCTATGTGTTTTTTGATATTTCGTAGTTTATATCATTTATTTAAACAGGCTTTTATTGTTATTCTCGATCGTTATTATCAGCCAATTATAAAATAAGCATAATATCAATGGTAAGTGCTGACAAATGTTCGATAATGTAGAATCGACGTCGATCAAACCTTAGGTTGGTGGTACGTAAGAAAATGTAAGCGGACAAATTTTGATCTTTATCCTCGGGGATAGAAATAAAGAATTCTGATTTGTTGATTTCCTTATGCGGAAGTTTATGCTCACCGCTTTAACCAGTAGAGACAATTGTGCCATTATACGAAAATTAACCATACTATTCTATATGATTATATATAATTCTAATTATATGTATAATTTTGCATGAAACATTTTTTAGCAGGGGGGGGGCGTAAATATCGTTGAAAATACGATTGATAAAGCGCCCCATTCGCGTGCTCTCGTGAAACGCGGCATCCATGAAGCACCCATGAACGTGCTGCGAGAATTTCATTCGCATAATGCTTCTTCGAGTGCCCGAGCTTTGTCCGGGCGCGCGTCCATCCACCCGAAATTACCGTCGCCGTCCTCGGCGCGCGCGCGCGTATTCGTGTGTACATTTTTATGCGGCCGCGTCTATGCGCTCGGAATACGACTGATACACACACCCGACTGGACGTCATGT